ACTCTGAGGCAGAAATGGCTCAGCATGTAGAATGCAGCAGCAAATATGTGGTAATAAACAAAATTAAATCTCTTACTTAGAGCTAAACTAGTCGATTAATAGTCACAGCTGAAACTCATTTTAACTTTTCTCAGAAAGGTTAAAAATATACTTACCAAGAAAAAAAGCAATTTGACATAACTTTTAAATGATATTTCAAGTGGAAACTTGGAGATTGCAATAGTACATGCTGATTGAGTTACATTATGATTAGGCTGCCTAATAATTTATGTTTTATTTTCCTATAGAGAAAATTAAGTAGCATTAATTAAAATTAATGAATTAGTTAAAAATAATTAGAGAATTTCATGTTTATAACATTTAAAGATTATAAATATAGATGTTATCTCCTGTTCTACATTTGGAATAATTATTTGGCCAGAATAGAAAACTTTGGTATTTCATTCAAACCCAAAATGATCTCCACGATTTTATCACAAAATTCAACTAGCTAAATAATTTGATTTCAGAACCTTAACTTCTTCACACAATTTTTCTTAGAGACACTGTTGAAGGGCTTGAAGAGAGAATGAAGAAATTAACAGGTCAACTTGTCCATTCTAGAATTATCATAGGGAAACATAAACATAATGAAACAATTGGAAAAGAAAGAGAACTTAAACTAAAAGATTCTACAAGTAATGAATTATCATAACCAAGAGTAATTCAGCCTACCACCCAACAAAGATCCGGGAGTCTTCCATGCACTCTCTCACCAGCTCTGTGCAGCCTCACAGGATTTGCTTTTTACATGTATCTCTTTGTAGACTCTAACTTATCTTCACATTCCAGTGTTTCGGGAGGGTTGGTTAGTGACTTCTCTCTAATTCTTCAATGCTCACTTAAGGAAGCAGCTTACACTGGACTAGGTTAAGAGGGTTTGGGAAAGCTGAAAGATGTCATTGAAAGATGAAATTTAAATTAACAGTATTTATGTAATATATTCTAATTTAATGAAATAGAATTATACACATAGGGGACATATGAGAGGTGAATTAATAAATATGGTAAATTAAGCAAAATGTAGTACAAGATTTTAAGGAGAAAATAATTGTACATGTCATCATAGTACATTATATGGCTTGTTACTGAAACCTGAACCAACCATAATAATCTCACAATATTGGGAGACTAAAGAAATAAATATGTCTTTGGGAAGTTTGTAGTAAAAGAAAAAAAGTAAGCCCTTGGCTTCCATAATTCCAAGACCATAGATGATGCCTAAAACTGAACATTTAGAAAATGATAAACTAAGTGGTTATATAAAGAACTAAGTGTTAAAAATCATTGCCTGGAAGATGGAATAAAGAAAGAACATAGAGGTTGCATAGTTTTATTTGTAAGTCATATAGAATTATTTGACTTCTGAGATGTGTTTAAAATTTTTTGTGAAAGTGTATAACTATGTGCATGTACAACTTTGAGAAAAGTTTAAAAATAAAAACACTCAATTTATTTATAAATATTTAATTGTTTCTGATCATGCCAAGGTGAGATTTTGAGAGATAATCTCAAACCAAAATAAATGAGTGAAACTGAATATATTATCACTTGCATAATTTAATCTAAATGCAATTCATCTTAAACTAAGTACTGTAGTTTGAGTGAATCACTGACGATGTATAGATGTGAAGAATTTGTTTTATAAGTCTTCCCTCTTTTTTCCAGATTATGCAGTGAATAGCTTTTCTGGCACTGTTTGCCTTAGTGAAAGGAAGTAATTCTCTCTACATTTTGTCACCCAGGATAATGTTTTTTTATGGTTCTCCTGGTTGGAGTTGGATATCCATTGTATCCTAATTTAGATGTGTTTATTTCACCATATTCTTGTCCATCATTCTTCCTTCCCCAATTAGATTTTGGTTTTTGTGACAGTCACCGCAGACTTTCTTTCCTTGATTCTATAAATTTTGGGCACCTGAAAGACTAATGTCAAAACATAATGAGTGTAATCAAATGGAGAAAAGAAAAGCCATTTGAAAATGGTTATTTCTCCCCCACCTGATGTATAGGTCCTTGTGAAAGTGTTCCTTCTGTTATTTTAAAGACTGAAATAGTTTGTTCATTGAACGAGCTATGGAGAATGAATAGAGCCAAGTCAGGGTCAGGCTAGTTCTCAAAGACCTCCTAGTTTATTTGATTAACATCAGCCAAAAGATAAATTATATAGTTAGGTGACATCTGAAAGTCACTTTGATAAAACTGGGTACACGGTGACCTAGAAACCTTTAGCCTTTGTCAGACAGAAGTAATTGTGACAAGGTAAGTCCTTTACTCTTTGTGGTCAATATAACCAGATCAAAATAACCATTATGTTATCTTCTGTGCTTCTGTTTCCTCTGGCTTCTCTCATTTAATCAGATGCTCCTTTGGTAACTCCATTCCCATTCTTCAGCTTTGTTTCCTAGAGAGATATTCTTTTTGACCTACATTACATTGGCATCTATTCTAGCCTTCTATTTGGCAATAGAGGAAATACAGATATCTTTAATGGAGGTGTGGTTACTCATAGTTTCTACAATGTAAATTGTAAATTAGATGTTTATTAATACAGTTGAATTAGGATTTACAGTTTCTTTTTCTGAGATGTGTTAAATAATATATGAGAAATTCTACGATTAAACAGGTTGAAACCATTATAGACACGAGTTTCTTAACAAATAAGATATTTAACTGTTTTAGCCCTACCTGAAGAATGTCAGTCTAATAAGATGAATGAATCTTCCTTCATCTAGCTCTGATTTTCTTTTCTTTACCTTTATTAGAAATAATAATTGCCTAGTAGAAAGAGAACAGAGTGGAGTATACTGCTTCTCCTTCCAAAACTCTGGCATCTTTGTCTTTACTACTGAATAAGAAATCCCTACCAAGGCAAATTTATTGTCTCTAGAGAGAATAATTATAATAACTCCCATTGTATTACCTATCTAATTAATCCATTATTTGAGATTAGAAAATCCCAAACTTTTTTCTAAATAGATTTAGAATCTATACTTATACTTTACAAATAGAGCAATTCATTTCATAAAGAGATATCTCAAAATAAAGAAAATTTTATTGTATCATGTACATGACTATTATTCATTTCACAAGTTTTGTCTTTATTTCTGTTAGCTATAAGTTTGAGCATGATGTGAAAGTTTGTCAGAGAAATGAGTCTTGTGGGACCATTTGAAGTAAGGAAACAAAATTGCTTTTCTGCTTTCCTAAATACTGATCAGAATAAAAGAGTTAAATTGAAAATATTCAACCTTTTTCACTATCCACAATTAAATATTTATAAAATAATTGGAATAATGAAAGAATTGATTCCATCCATACATGAACAATTTGGAGTAATGATGACAATATAGTAATTTGTTTGACTTATTGTGTATGCATTAGCATTATAATAAAAGGAAAATGAAAATGCTGTTGTCATGAAACTTGATGCAAATTACTCACACAAGAGTCACCAGCTGACAGTTTTATGCATACCAATATCATCAATATAGAATATGTCACAAACAAGGGTCAGCTCAAAGAAAAGGACCATGATAAAATTTACATTTCATTGTGTAAGGTAATTCTTTGAATTTTACTCCATAGCCAAGAATATTCTATGAAGCCTTTTTTAAAAAAACATAATCAAAACAAGACAGTGTGGAATATGCTTGCCAAATCAGTTCCAGCACAATGTTCCATAACACTAATGACATCAGTGTAGCACACACTTGCTGTCAGTTGGATTTTGGGATGTCTACCCGAGAGAAGTTCAGGAATCCTGAGCTTTTCAGAAGCTTCTAGGTGGTCTTTTCCTCAGGCATATTTTACCATACTTGAACTCTGATAGAAAAAGTTAATGATAGAAAACTCTCTTAACAGTCTCTGTATTTTATACAAATGGTTCACTAGAATAATTTTCTAACTTTAAGATATTTTTAGCTTCAATTTCATCAGTAATGGGCATTAATTAAAAAGTTAAGCAATTATTTCTAATGCTAAGTCACACATTTAGTACACTTTGACTTAAAAATAATTAGGTACATACAATATTTGGTTCTCTGCTAGTTCCTGTGAAGTCATAGAAAGGCACAACTTTCACCCTCAACGATTTAGGGTTTTCAGTGTTTTCCTTTTTTTAAATTTTTGAAATCTTATTGGTACATTTTAGATATACATAATGGTAACATTCATCACAAGGGAATTAGTACCTGTACATGATATATTTTGTTTCTTCTTTTTTTCCCATTCCCCAGCCCTCCCTTCAACACTCTTCCCCCTCCTTATTTACAAAAGCTTTGTTTCCATTTTTCCTTCTATTCTCTTTTTTTCTTGTCCCTTCCTTCCTTTTGCCCTCCCCCTTCATTTTTTCCCTTTCTCACTTGAATATTTTCTTCCTATTTCACAACATCTATTACATATTTTGGTCCTTACTTACACTTTGGATTTCTTACACCAGGAAACAATGCAATAATTACACGTGTGTGTCCAATTTATTTCAGTTACAAGTATTGCCTCATGGTGCATCCATTTAGCTAGAAATGTCTCCAGCTTATCCTTCTTTATGTCAGAGTAGTATAGTACTCCATGTATACAAAAACACATCTTTTTTTAAAATTTCTTCTTCCAAATTCCTAACACATATTTTCCTCCAACTTTTAAAAAATTAGTTAAGTTTATTGGTACATTTTAGATACACATAATGATCACATTCATCATAGGGAATTTGTACCTGCACGTAATATATCTTTATTCTTCTTTTTTTCCCATTCAACCCCTCTTCCCCTCCATATTTACAAAGGTCTATTTCCACTTTTTCTTTCTATTCTTTTTTCCTTGTCTGTTCCTTCCTTTTTCCCTCCCCCTTCCTTTCCCACTTGAATATTTTCTTCCTATTTCACAACATCTATTATATATTTTGGTCCTTATTTACACTTTGGATTTCTTACACCAGTAAACAATGCAATATTAACACACGCATGTCTGTTTTATTTCACTTAGAAGCACGGTCTAAAGGTACATCTATTTACCTAGCAATATCTCAAGTTTATCCTTCTTTATGGCAGAGCAGTACTCTATTGTATTTTTAAAAAGCCCACATCTTTATCCATTCATTGGTTGATGGGGATTTGGGCTGTTTACAAGATTTAGCTATTACAAACTGGGCCTCTCTATAAACATGAGTGTGCATATATTTCTGTGGTATGATGCTTTTAATTCTTTTGGGAAGATACCAAGAAGCGGAATAACTGGGTAAAATGGAAGTTCTAGTTTTAGTGTTTTGAAGAATCTCCAGGGGCTGGGGATTTAGCTCAGTGATGCCGCCACCTGCCTCACAAGCACAAGGTCCTGAGTTTGATCCCCGGTACCAAAAAAAGAAAATCTCCACAGTGGTTGCACCAGTCTACACTCCCACCAACAGTAGAGAAGTGTTCTTTTTTCCTCATAGCCCCTCCAGCATTTACTATTAGTTGATTTCTTGATAATAGCCGTTCTTCTGGAGTGAGATGGAACTTCAGTGTTGCTTTAATTTACATCCCTTGAATGACCAGTGATATTAAACATGTTTTCATATACTTATTTGCCATTTCTACTTCTTCATCTGAGAAGTGTCTATTCATTTCAGATGCCCATTTTTGGACTGAGTTTAAATTTGGGGGTCTGATTTTTTTTGAGTTCTTTATATATTCTAGATATTAATCTTTTGTCTGAGGAAAAATTGACAAAATTTTTTTCCTACACTGTGGACTATCTCTTCATTCTGACAGTGGTTTCTTTTCCTGTAGCTTTTTAATAAGATGAGAGCCCAGTTGTTGATTCTTTCTGATATTTCCTGTGTGATTGGGGTTTTAGTAGTGAAGTTCTTTGCCTACACCTATGCCTTCACAAGTTCTACCTATTCATAGATTTAGTGTTTCTGTTTTAATTTCTAGGTCTTTGATCCAGTTTGAGTTTAGTTTAGTGTGTGGTGAAAGATATGGGTCTAGTTTTAATCTTCAGCATGTGGAAGCCAGTTTTTCCAGAACCATTTATTAAAGAGGTTCTTTCTTCCAGTGAAAATGTTGGGTTTTTTGTCAAAGATAAGGCAGCTGAGTGTGTTCAAAGTTGTTTCTACATCTTCTAATCTGTTCCATTGACCTTTAGATTTTTGTTCTGTCTTTTGTGAGTATCATGTTATTTTATCACAGTAGCTTTGTAGTATAATTTCAAGTCATGGATTGGGATGCCCCCTGCCTTGCCTTTGTTGCACAGAATTGCTTTTGCTATTCTAAGTCTCTTCTGGTTCCAAATGAATTTTAAGACTGTTTTGTTTAATTCTGTGAGTTCCTCACAGTCCTGGGGGAGGCGAAGTTCTGTGAGAAGATGGCCCAGTTTGACGCTAAGAAGTTTGCAGAAGGCCAGCCCAAGAAAGATACCCTACGGAAAGAGAAAGGCTCACGGGAAGAAACGCAAAAGCCTCAGGCTGAATGGAAAGAGGAGAAGAAGGCGGCTGCCCCGGACAAGTGTGGGGAGGCACTGGCTGCTGTGCCTAAGGCCAAGGACCCCTTCACACACCTGCCTAAGAGCACCTTAGTGTTGCATGAGTTTAAGCGCAAGTACTCCAAGGAGGACACCCTATCTGTGGCGCTGCCTTACTTCTGGGAGCACTTCGACAAGGACAGCTGGTCCCTGTGGTTTGCTGAGTACCGTTTCCCGGAAGAGCTCACTCAAACCTTCGTGAGTTGCAACCTCATCACTGGAATGTTCCAGAGGCTAGACAAGCCGTGGAAGAATGCCTTCACCAGCGTCATCCTCTTCGGCACAAACAACAGCAGCTCCATCTCAGGAGTCTGGGTCTTCTGGGTCCAGGAGCAGGCCTTTCCGCTGAGTCCAGACTGGCAGGTGGACTACGAGTCATACACGGAGAAGAAGCTGGACCCCGGCAGTGAGGGAATGCAGACGCTGGTGCAAGAGTACTTTTCCTGGGAGGGGGCCTTCCAGCATGTGGGCAAAGCTTTCAACCAGGGCAAGATCTTCATGTGACCGTCACTTCCATCTCCTGGCTGCCCACACCTGGCCCTCAGGGAGGTGGGGTCCTTACAGGAAACTGAACATTGAAAAAAAATTGTACTCCTTTTTTCCAGGTTCCTGTCACATGGAGTATTGTTTTCCATCCTTTGGTTTTCAGTCTAGGGATTTCTTTTTGAATTAAATGTGTTTCTTGTATCCAGCATGTTGTTGGATCTTGCTTTTTGATCCATTTTGCCAGTCTGTTTCTTTTGATTGGTGAATTTAAACCTTTTACATTGATGGTTGTAACTGGTATGTATTGACTGGTGATTGTCATATTATTTTCCTGTTGTTGGTTCTCTTTTTTTCCTCTGTGTTTAATTGACTTGCCTGATGGATT